AATTGGTTCACAAACAAAAGCATTCTGCAAAATTTTGCTTTTGTTCACAAACTATGAGGTGAGAAACATGACCAATGGCCATCTTCCCCCAAACTGTAAAAAAAAAATTAAGTTAATAAACTGTGGTACTTATTGCATCTTCTTTTGATGGAACAAATGATATACTGTAAGCACCATTTATATTTTTACTTACATTTTCGTAAGGTATAAAAACCCTTTGAAATTAACAAGTGTTTTTTTTGTCTATTATTGAGAATAGAGCTCTAAATATGCCATTGTTAACACAGATATATTCAATGTGCAACTTTGCTGACTTTTATTTCATACTGATAGAGAAAAACTCTTGTAAATAGCAAAACCTACAAAATGCCACAATGTAGAATGGCTTCTACTGTCTCTAACAGCCGTTTTTTGTTGTTGTTGTTGAGTTCAGAATTAACAGACAACAGAGGCATTAACCACTGAATGAGGCATTTGGTTTCATCCTGAGATCACAGGGCACATCAAAACCCTGAGCTCTGAAGTTCTGTAAACCACAAGTTTGTAAGTGTCAAGATGAAAAGAAACATTGTTTACATTTACTTCCCTAACCCTGAACACCTCCTTCCTATAGGCTAGATTAGGTAGCTAGAAGGATCTTAAAGGGAAACTCCTCTACCTACAAAGAATTGATACATCTGGGTTGAAAGTTAACTGTCTCGTGACCATTTGTGTATTGGTAATGTGAACTGAGAATGAAATGTAACCATCTGAATGAGATCAAGGCTGTAAAACCCGATAAAAGGGGAAGCTAGAGCCCAGTATGAGTTCAATCTCTGGCACTGCTTTTGAGTGTGATTAACCTTTTGTCAACAAAATAAACTTATTTTACTTCCATTCTGAATGTGTCATTTATCAAATCCTTCTGCAACAATACGAACAACTTGGATTGATTAATGGAAGATTTGTCTGACTCTTGTTATCTAAAACATGTACCTAGATAAGTATCTAGATCTCAGCTGTATTTTTTATTGAGTTTATTGGTACAATCTAGATATACAATATATTTACATTCATTATTGGGATCCTGTACCTTTACATGACAGGTCTTCTCATTTTTCCCCCTTGTCCCTGCCCTCCCTTCAACCCTTCCTCTCCTCCCCATCTACAAACACTTTTATTTCCATCTTTTCATTATCTCACATTTTTTCTTTTCCCTTATTACCCTTCCCCTCCCCATCCCATCTTCCCTACACCTTTAGCCCCTTTCTTCCCATTTCACAATGTCAGTAATCTTATTAGGATCTTATGTATTATTGCAGTTTATTCACACCAGAGAAACTATTCGGTATTTACATGTGTGACTTATTTATTTCACTTAAGAGTATATCCTCAATATATATCCATTTTCCTATAAATGACTCTAATTTCTCATTCCTTATGGCTGAGTAGTATCCTGTTTTATAGAAAAAATACATCTTTATCCAGTTTCCAACAGATGGGCAAATGGGCTGTTTCCAAGTTTTAGCTATTACAAACTGTGCCACTATAAACATGGGTGTGCATCTATCACTGTGGTATGATTCTTTTAATTCTTTTGGAAAGATACCCAGCAGAGGGATGGCTGGGTCAAATGGAACCTCTAGTCCCAGCTCTTTGAGGTATCTCCATATGTCCTTTCTTTTCTAACTCTGCCTTATTTGTACAAAAGTAAAAATAAACTGAAAATTTTTGGATAAACTAATATAAAAACAGTAAGTAGAATGAATAATTTAGAACTCTAGGATTCAGCAAAATATGACTTTATAATTTGTGACTTTATGCTTAATTATAATGATCAGTTAAAGAAATCTCTATGAAAATTAAAAATAGGGAATCCTAAAATGATAAAACTAAAAAGAGAAGGCAATGATATAAAATTAAAATCATCTTGAATTCTGAAGATGAAAATGATCCCTGAACATATTTATTGTTTCTTGCTCTTGTAGTCTTATATTATTTTTTTCATTCTTTAGAGAATACTGTATTAGTTTATGTAATCAAACCCACGTAGATAAGACCTTACATATTTAATACAGTGCATTACCCCTGTACAAATGGGAAAAAAAATAACATTTCTAGACCAACATGGCTGTTAATTTCTGTACAATGCCAACTCAACACAGTAAACTGGGATCTTTTTCCAAAGTTGACAGCACAGTTAAAGTCTCCAAAAATTGAAATTATATAAATAAAGACCAATAATAGCAGTATGCTATGCATCAATAGCAACAGCTTTTCCAGGTTCTGAAGTCATTTAAACAAAACTAGACATTCAACGCATTCCACTAAAAAAAACAAAAACAAGGGCTGGGGATTTAGCTCAGTGGTTCTACCACCTGCCTTGCAAACACAAAGACCTCAGTTCGATCCCTGGTAACAAAACAAAAAACCAAAAACAAAAAAAAACAAATAAATACCCAGAAAACAGCAAAGTTCTGTTACTGCTGAGGTACCTGGCACCATTTTTTAATTAGCATATTAAGCATCATCTGGAAAGAGAACATTCTAGAGTAACATTAAAAACAGCTCTGATAAAGCATGGTCACTACTACCTATCATAAAGCAGGTACAAGATATTTTACATTCACAGAGGTACGCTATAGTACTGCCCTACATCTATTACTAGAATCACTTTTGGTTTGAAATTTACTTTGTCTGTGAACAAGATTGCTACCCCTGCTTTATTCTGGGCTCCTGTCACATGGAGAATTGTTTTCCATCCTTTCATTTTCAGTCCATGGGCTTCTTTTTGCACTAGGTGTGTTTCTTGTATATAACCTATTACAGGGTTTTGCTTCTTAGTCCATTCTGCTAGTCTATTTCTCTTGATTGGTGAGTTGAGGCCATTGACATTGATGGTTATCACTGATATGTACTGGCTTATTACTGTCCTGTTATTGGCCTTTTGTTGACTTTTTACTTTTTCGCCTTCTCCTTTTAGTTTCTTGCCTTACCTATTTGATTTGCTCTGTTGGGCCTCACGGTGTTGTTACCTTCATTGTCATATTTCTAGGATCTTGTTTAGAATTGCTTGTAGTGCTAGTCTGGTATTCACGTAGCTTCTCAGGTGTTCTTTGTCGTGAAAGTATCTTATTTCCCCATCCATTTTGAAAGAGAGTTTTGCAGGATAAATCAGTCTAGGTTGGAGGTTGTTCTCTTTTAATACTTGTTTTGTTATTTTTTGTATCAGGGATTGAACTCGGGTCCTTGCACTTGCAAGGTAGGTGCCGGAACCACTGAACTAAATCCCCAGCTGAATTTTTATTTTTAAACTGGTATTAGGGAGATCAGTCATAGGGTGGTTTGATGTTAAGATGATAAAGTGTGCACATAAGAAAATGCCTCCAATTTTTAAGGTTTGATCTCATGTCAAGTGGCAATATGCAGCATTATAATTTCTGATTATACCAGACAGCAGCCCTATGTGTTCATTTCAGCATATGCATACATGTACAAAAACTGAAACTCAGCCAGGCCTGGTGGCACAGGTCTGTAATCCCAGGACTCGGGATGCTGAGGCAGGAGGATCGCTGTGAGTTTGAGAGTACCCTGGGCTTCAGAGTGAGTTCCAGGTCAGTCTCAACTCTACATAGTGAGACCATCTCAAAAAAAAAAAAAAACTGTAGTTGATATATGTGCAATAAATTATATGTAGTCAACACTATAAAATACACAACAAAGTACATGATTTTGCCCAATCTTATGCTAATGACTTGAAAACATTTAATGTAAGCTACATAGATTTCATGTTTATTAGGATGGTTTATTAAATAAAAACTTCTAGATAACTATAATGGTTACCAAAGAGAACTGCCTTTACCACTCATTGCATTCAAAAGAGGAAGAAGCTGCACCACAACAAATAACACTTAATATCCTAAAACACTAAACCAATCAAAATTTCTATGGTTAATGCTCTTCATGATGAACTATAGTCAGATATGGTGTGTGCACAGACTTATCGTAATTCATTAATGCCACATGACAAAAGAAATGGTCCAGGTGTTCTCTGGTAAGAAAGATACTCAAATCAGCCTAATGTACCTTTTGTATAATGAGCAAAGAACAGATTACAGAGTATAACTTACATGATGGAAAAACACTGCTCACATACTAATGACTCTTGACATCAAAGAAAACTCAGCAAAGTTATACATGGAGTAAGTACATCTATGTTGAAAATGACATTTAGAGATCTACTCTAGGTAAAGAAAACATTTTGTTAATCTCAAGGGTATGTTACATATTTAAAATGTTTGAACTCATCCATGAATGCAAAGCAGTTCAAAATGTCAGGTCAAGACAAAGCTTATTTATTAGAGGTCAATCAATCCACCGACTGCCTAGAAAGGACGATGGCGAGTCCTAAAGAAAAAAAAAAAGACAATAGAGACTTGCATAGTTTCAAAGAGGGGTGGGAGGGTTGCTGGGAGGTTAGTGCCTCAGAGTGGGCACAGACAAAGACACTCCAAACTTACTATTTACTGGGCTCATAGGGAGTATCAGATGAATCAGGTGGCAATAATCCTAAATTCATAAGGATCTTACAATTTGAGGGAGTATCAAATGTCTCAGACAGCAGCAGTAATCCTGCGACAGTAAGGATCTTACACTGATGAAGAGCTTATGTTGGGATGAGTTCAGCTGATAAGGAATTTGTCCCTCCCAGGTGAAAACCATTCTTCTTGTGTTACTACTCCATTCTCAAAGAACCAGGTTGTCTTCAGCTGATGTAGTCTTACCCTTGAGCATCACATCACAGGACTATTTTGAGATCTCAGACAACCCTAATCATAATTGTGAAATAATTTCCCCAAAAATATTGTAGAATGGCTCCTGACACTTATTAGCTGATTTGATTTTTATAAGACTTACCCAAATCATTTGCTTTTTCAAAAAAATTTTTTTTTGTACCAGGGACTGAACTCGGGCCCTTGTGCTTGTGAGGCAGCGGTGGAACCACTGAGCCATCTGGCTCATTTGGTTTTTTCTTTAACAAAACTTAATAAGAGTATATGCCCTTAAATTTATTTTACTACTTTTATCAAGTTTGAATTCTGTATCCAACTAGTGAGCTCAACTGATCTCCCACCTTACTTTCCCTAGCAGCAGGACTACAGGCAAGCACCACACTGCTCAGATAAATGATTATCTGGAAGCATACACATACACACAGAAGTGAAACACATACATGATAGATCTATATTAAAAGTGGGGTATGATTTTATATGTACATGAGATTTTCAGCAAATTTCATTCAGATAGTGTGCTTTCTAGAGCATGCTACACTAATTACTTTGCATACAATTCTTTGTATTACTTTTATAGGACTCTACTGCATCAGGAATTTTCATGACTTTAATGTTTTTACAACTGACAACCTTTTTTCACAATCAGAAAGTATTAATCCAGTGTGCATTCACACATGTGCCAAATAAAGGCTCTGACACATATCTAGTCAAAGTTTTCCTCCATACCATGTTACAATTGTGACTCAAGCACAATGACTAAAGACATTTCCATATGCTTTGCACTAACAGAAGTCCTCTCTTGTGCAGCCTCACGAATGCTAGAAAAGTCATCTGAAAATGAAGCCTTCTCACATTCTATATTTAGGGTTGCTCTCAGCTATTGAGTTCTTCTGTGTCTGTGAAAGCAAGTGTAACAATTGCAAACTTTCCCACATGGTAAACACACAAATGGTTTCTATTGAGTTTTAACATGTGTTAGGGAAATGGGTAATATATATGATTTTCCAAACTGCTTCCAATGAAGTAGTTTCCATTGTGAGTTTTTTCATGGTTTCTCAAGTGACTAGGAAAGTTTCCCACATTGCTTACTCCCTATGGTTTCTCCCCACTGTGCACCTTTTTATGTCTTTCAAAAGTCTTTTCCCAAAAGAAGGCTTTCCCACATTGTTTACATTCATATGGTTTCTCACCACTGTGAACTTTTTTATGTCTTTGAAAATTTTTTTTCCAACGGAAGGCCTTCCCACACTGCTTACACTTATATGGTCTCTCTTTAGTGTGAACTTTTGTATGTTTATGAAAACCACGTTCCCAAAGGAAGGATTTCCCACACTGTTTACACTCATATGGTTTCTCTTCACTGTGTACTCTTTTATGTCTATGAAAAGAACTTTCCCAAATGAAGGATTTCCCACATTGTTTACATTCATATGGTTTCTCTTCACTGTGAATTCTTTTATGTTTATGAAAAGAAGTGTTCCAAAGGAAGGCTTTACCACATTGTTTACACTCATATGATTTCTTTCCAGAGTGAAGTCTTATATGTCTTTGAAGACTAGTTTTCCAAAGGAAGGCTTTACCACATTGTTTACACTCATATAATTTCTCTCCAGAGTGAAGTTTTATATGTTTTTTAAGACTACTTTCCCAAAGGAAGCCTTTCCCACATTGCTTACATACATATGGTTTTTCCTCAGAATGAATTTTCTTATGTTGTTGAAGGGCATTGTAAGAAAGAAAAACTTTTTCACATTCTATACATGGATAAAGCTTCTCTCCAGTGTGAATCCTTTCATGTATTCGAAAGGCACCAGAACAAACAAAAGCTTTTCCACAGTGGTTACACACATAGGGTTTCTTGCCACAGGGAAACTTTTCATGGTATCTAAAAGAACTGTGATGAGAGAAAGCTTTCTCACATTGCTTGCACACATAGGGTTTCTCTCCAGTGTGAATTCTTTCATGTGCCTGAAGGCCATTTAAACGACTGAAGGTTTTCCCACAATGCTTACAGATGTAGGGTTTCTCTCCATTGTGAATTCTTTCATGTATTTGAAGGGTACTGGAACTTCTACAGATTCTCCCACAATGCTTACATACCTGGCATTTCTTTCCACTGTGAATTCTTTTATGTCTTTGAAGTAAAGTGGAACAAGTAAAGTCATTCCCATCTTGTTTACATTCATAAGGCTCCTCTCTAGTTTGAGTCCTTTCAACTTTCTGAAATCCTTGGGGATAAATGAAGGCTTTCCCACTTTCCTTATGATGATAAAGCCTCACTCCATATTCTTGATTTTCATAACGTTTGAATACAGTGTGACCTCTGAGGGGCACTCTGCAGGATGAAAGACAAACATGGACCTCTCCAAAAAAACAGCTTTCAGATGGTAAAACTCCAGGGGAAGTTCTCTTTTTTAAAACATGCTCTGGTGTCTGATCGAAGTTTTCACCATATTGACTGTCTTTGTTATATTCACAGAGTTTGCCTATAACTTGACTTCTATTAAAAAAAAATAAAAAGACAAGAACATTAATTAGATTTTGGATATTCATGATTTGGCAGAAGTGCTAGCTTTTTGCTCTGTAACAACTTTTGAATATGTGTGGACTGACTGCTCTTCAGGATAATTCAAGCATAGGTATTATTAAAACAGTGGTATTCATGAGTTTTTAAATATGGTATCCACGTTAGGCAAACACTGAATTTCAGTCAACTCTGTAGACACTGGAGTTTTGCTGATATAAAATTCTAGAAACTAAAATCACGTTGATTTTGGAATATAGTGAACCCTTGACTTACAAACTCAGTTCCCAAGGGCTAGTTGTAATTCAAGTTGGCTTTAAGTCAAGGTAATAGAAGAGGCAGTTGAATCTTCCATTAATATAATTACCCAAGTTGTTCATGTCAGGCCGGTTTTGAGAGTCCAGTGTACTTGCATATCCATAATGTTATCATAAATATTGGCTTAAGTATAAATACAAAATTCATTTTTATTTCATATATATCTTATATCAGAACCGTAACGTAATTTCACATGACATTTTAATAAATTTGTACATGAAGCAAAATTTGCAAATATTCAATCCGAAACTGTCAGTGTCCCATAGGTGTCCAAGACTGGCATATTTCAGAATTTCCACATATAGATGTTCACTTTATATTTCATTTCTGACAAAGTTTTCAGGGATTAAATTAAACTGAAGCTGGCTTTAATTTATTTCTATCATTTACTTGTTTGTAAAATTTTCTGAAATTCCAGGACTTTGATGGACACTCCTCTTTTGAGTACAAATTACCTCATGCCTAGGCCCCACACTAGAGCTGGGAGAACCATGAACTGTGTACTCTGCTTCTAGTCAAGGCTAATGTCCATGCCAAGGAACACACTAGAGCTGGGAGGACCTGGGGATTGCACACCATGCCATGGGATCTCCATGAGACAAAAAAGTAGAAACAAGCAACAGACCATCCTGCTGAGGAGAAGAGTTCTACTGTAGGAATGAAGTGATATTCTACCAGAAATTGGATGAGAGAAAGCCTTGAAGACAGGCTTGGAGAGGGTGAGCACAAAATAGAGATTTCCTGGGATCACCTGGGAGGCCAGGGCTCATATCAGGAAAATCATGGAGCCTGTATCATGTTGTGGGATGACAGGTTTGGTGGATCACTTGTCAGAAGGGGCAGTTCTAAAGAAGAAAGAATTAAATCTAGCAGTAAGTTTGGACTCTGGCACTGCTGCCTAAATCCAGCAGAAATTAATAGTAAGCCATAGAAACAAGTTCAAATATTGCATGGTTTCTCAAATGAGAGCACCCTCCAAGACAGACAGACAGACATACACACACACAAATAAAGAGCAAATTAGGAGATAAGCAGGAAAAGGAGAGAAATTGAAAGTTTTCTCCAAATCACACAGTCCAATGTTTCAAAACATATTTCCTCATGTGTAGTTATTTCTTGATCCTAATCTTAGCTAAGAGTAAGTGAATAAAACCATTTAAGTAATTGTGAACCTTATTCTAGTTTTGTTGAAATTTTTATTAATATAACTTCTATGGGAGAAAAAAACCCAAATTACCTTAGATTTTTCCTGGGCTTTTGGCATTCATCTTCAATGTTTGGGTCTTCACATTTTTGTTCTAAAACACGGAATGAGCAAAATCATTAGGAATAAAAACTTATAGAAAAATTATTAGATTCTAGCTAGATTCACTGCGTTATATAATTAATTATGCCTGAAATATTCCTCTAAATATTCCGGTTCCATTTCCACATTAAGGAAATGGCACTGATGTTCAAGACACACTTGTTCAAATCATCTTTACCTATGGCAACCAGGTTCCTCAGGGTTTCCTTCATTACGTCTCTGTACAGCTTCTTTTGCAAAGGACTCAAAAGAGCCCACTCCTCCAGAGTGAAGTTCAAGGCCACATCCTTAAAGGTTACTGACTCCTAAAACAATTACACATACATTCTGATGAGAAAAAGTGACAGTCATTGTAATGAGGATCTATATTCACTTCATTAAAACTTCACATCACTGTTTTCCTCATACGTTTACTGAACGTTTTATTTATTCTATAGTCTCATACAACAATTCTGAGTAGATTTGGACTATGTGAGTCATTCCAATTTCTCTTTCTGTATCACATCCAATAACAAATTCCTACTACTGAGTGCTCAGAAGAAAGTTAACATCAACTCTCCTGAAACAACATATTTTTAGAAATGTCTCAGAACAAAGTTCAACTTTCTTGGTACCTGGAGCTGCTACTAGGATGTACTACACCAACGTAACTATAAAGAATATTCTATTTGTTTAACAACTCTCATCTCTCTAAAGAGGAGCCTACCTACCACCCCCAACCAAAATACACTCTGGTGAATACCAAATGAGCGGGTTTGACAGGTGCTATTCAAAACCTCCTCCTAATTTGTTCCTCAGGGACTTGAACACACCCTTTGTGATTATACTGAGAGACAATTTTTGCAAGCTTCTGATTGGTGTCTCAGGCTAATCCATAATTAAGTAACATATGAATCATGGAGGATAATTTACCAATAAATAAGCATTACATCATCCACTGCACTGTCAATGAGCAACAAAACAGGGAAGGATGGTATCCCCAAGATGTTTCCTCTCATGCATACTGATGAGCTTGTACAGTTTCTAAAACATACCTTAAACTACACAAAAACTACCATGTTCCTATATATACATATACTTAGTAAAAGATAAAATATGATATACAAAACATGCTATAACCTTGGTTGAAAAAAGTTAAGTTATAAGAAAAACTGTAGCAAAAAAGCAAAATGTTTTGCATGAATAGGTGAACAGTTGATAAAATCCACTTCAACGTCCTTTCATTGGAATTTTAATGCAATATACACACCAGTTCTACTCTAATGTCCCAAGAATATGTTCATTTGTGTTGGGAGTCATATAAATTATTTTTAACAGCACTATAATATAAGCACGGGAAAAATGCAAGACTATGACGATTGAAATAGATGAGAAAAAAACTGCTCTGTGCTTCATATATGGGCATGTATAATATATACTCAGTCGAAGAATCCAGATAGTGTGCTTTCTTTAAAATTCTTTTAACACATACTCAAAGTTTCAAAGGGCCAAAATGGAAAGGATATCGCTTAAAAAAAAAAAAAATCACATATGGGCAAAGGAAAAGTAGACAAAAATCAGGAATAGTGGTCACCTATTCACCTGTGAGGTGAGAGGGATACGACTGGCAAAAAACACTTGGAGACTATGACGACTGCCAAAGGTCCATTTAAGAATATTTATTAAAATGCCAAGTATAATTACTAATGCCTTTTAACTTTTTAATTATTCTTTTCTAAATATACTTCACAATAAATGATTTCAATAAAATTCTCCTCAGGAAAGAACACATCTGTCTGCCCTGAATGGTGGCCGTGAGAGTCACAGCTCACAGCCTGGCAACAACAATGTATAAAAGAGCAAGCAGAAAAATAAATAAATAAAATTGAACAACTAATTTTCCATCCATGACAGAAGATTAAAAAAAAAAAACAGCAAGCAGAAGCCAGAATACACGCTGGCCATCAGTGGACAGCAAGTTTACAGTGTGTAGACAATTAGACACCCTACATCGTAGGGCAAACTACCTTGCCCATCTATACAATTGTGGCTCTGATGTTGATATGTGACAATATAGCATAAAACAAAAGAGGACATAAAAAATTATTAATCACATAAGCAGGAAAGCTTCTCAGCCAGGTAGCTCGTGCCTAGAGATTATCTAGAGATAGAGAAGCCTTGGTCTGGAAGACCTACTGAAGTTAGTAGGGAATCTGCTGACATGAAGATGTCCAATTCATCTTCATCTTGTTGTACAGCTGTAGAAAGGAAACGGATTTTAAAGGCAGCAAAGCAGGCCAAAGATGGAGCCTTTGCAGCTTCACCCTCTAATAATCAGACAGCTGCTGTATTATTTGGGTTCCCAATAATAGGGGGCAGAGAAGCAAAATGAAAGTTATACAACAAGGCCATTTTAACTGGTGTGCTACAAGGGATGCCCAAACCTGTGAACTATGATAAGCTCAGTTCTATTAGGGCCTCATAAGAACCCAGTTGCCTTTCAGCTTCAGCTTGAAGAGGCACTCTGTAAATACAGTAAGGTAGACTCTGAGTCTAAAAAAGATCAAATTAGCTTAAGGCAGTAATTTAAAAGTCAGTCAGCTCCAGATATTAGGAAAAGGCTCCAAAAACTCCAACTGGGCACAGAGACCAAAGTAAGCCAGGTGGTCAAAGACGCTTACTTGGTGTTCAATAACCATGATAAAGTAGAGGACAAATGAGAACTGTGTAAGGAAAGGAGGCAGGGTTAAGGTTAGGATTTCACCGCTTTCTGTAAGAAGCACTATCAAGAGACATTGTAGAAATTAGCTGATGCTTTTAGTACAGTTTGAAACAAAGGAGCTGAGTCACTCCCTTTCCTCCATTCAATTGTAAACACCACCTTAAGGATTATTCATGCTTTCATATCTGAAGAGGTACAAAGTAAAATAACAAAAGCTTAGGAAGTCACAATGATTGAAGCTGCAGATCACTAACATCCCTGAGAGAGGGAGCAGGAGGCATCTAGAATCAGAGGGGCCTGACCTTTTAAATATTGGAGGCCAGAGTTATTGAAGGCTTTTTTTTTTTCTATTGCCCTTCTGCCTAGTGAATATACACATCTTAAAATGAGAAATATGTTATATGAAGGAAATCAATAAAACTTCAGAAAACACAGAGCTGTAGTAAGAATTGTCTTCCAAACCCTAGACACAGAAACTCCATCTCTGTGGTGTAAGACTTGAATAAGCTAAAGTGACTCCATGCTAATAAGCCAGACTGTGCTTCTTCATATGCTAATTGCTAACTTAGCTAACAGCCTGCCCAGGGGCAAATGGTATGACAAAAGGTGACCACAGAAGATTTCCTGCATAAGATAAGCAATGCGCTTGCAGTCTTGTTCTGTGAATTCCCTCTTTGTTAAGAAAAACCTTTTAAAAAGTACCTCAGCCCCTAAGCAGTTGCTTCTCTGAGCTACCTGGCTCCGGGAGTGCCATTTGGCCAGACTAATAAAGGTCTATTTACCATCTACCCTGCTGTGTTCCTTCCTGGGTTTCTCCTTTCTCAGTCGAGCTCCCGGAGCCTCGCTGGGTGTTAGGGCCCAGCATTGTGGAGGCCTTTTTGGGCTGTTCACGCTCCGTGGAGTGGAAGTGAGACTTTAAATCTTACAGTGGTGCACACAACCCTCTCAGTGTGGCCTTCCAATGGGTCCTTCAGCCCCCACCAGGTGCTGGAGTCTGTGCCACACTGCGAATAACAAGATTATCTGACACTGAAGTTAGACATTTCTGACCAAGACAGGTGGGAGCAGGGTACACACAACTTATCCCATGGACCATTCTTGATTTTGAGCCTAATTTTCCTGTTTCAATTAGTGCTCTATAAAAATAGTACAGTGGTTTTCTGCACAGGGGAGTTGTATTAGTAGCAATACAGCCTCCAAGCTGTTCAGTGCTTTGTAAGCAACACCTAATAACCTAATAACCAGTCACTCAACAACCGAGTGTCCAAGTTGCTCTTTCAATTGTCAACCTCTCAGAATCCAGAGGAAGATGTTTACAGATCTCCAAGCCCTTTTTGGGTGTAAGAACTTCTCAGCACTCTCTAGGCCAAACTGCCTTTGCTAATACAAGCCTCTGAGATATGTGCTTATAACTCTGACATGCAGAGAGCCACAAACAAGCAGGAATACGCTTTGGCTCCCTTTCTGGCATCGCACCTGCCTCCCAGTACAAGGTCCTAAATTCAATCCCTGGTACCGGAAAAACAAAACAACATTTGTGTCTGTACCTATAGATTAGAGCTGTTGCCAGACTCTTCTGAGGGGAACTTCTTCTTGCAGTGCTCAGTAACCATGGCTATAACTCACTGCAAGTCTACCTGTTGGCTATGTGGTAAAATTCCCCAATCTAGTCAAGCAGGCCTGCCCTGGAATATGATGGCTTTGTCTCTGACTCCTGCAAATAACAGTATTTTTATGAGGACTCCAGGGCCAAGTTGGGAACTTTTGTGAGTAATACAAATGAGTGAATGCATGTCATGGAGGTGATGGTACCAGAAAGAAGACTCAGCAACAGTAAGAAGGCATTAAAATAAGTCCTCACCATACATGACCTGGATAGCGGCTGAAGATGGACATCTGTACCCTCATACCACTTTGTGTCTTGAAAGCAAGAATGAACCAGTTCTTCCCTCCATGGACCTATGGGATGGTTTTCACCTGAAAGCACTTTTAAGTACAAGTGTAGAATAAGAAATGGACTGGCAGACAAAATGTCACCTAGTGGCATGGGACATACTATCCCCCTTCAGGCACAGGTTGGTGGTGTGGACTCACCTAGCTTACAAATGGACAGCAGGTGTGGAATAGAGTGACATCTCGCCCATCAGTCCCAGAAATTTGCCATCATGGAGGGGCCACCATGGCAGGGACTGGCATGGAAGGAATATCTCCTCAGTTTGTGCCCCAAGCCGGGGCAGTGAAGGTCTTAGTTCAGGTACAAGCTCTTCCCAACTGCACTGTCAAAGCATTAAACTCTACACGAGAGCACCCTCCTGCTGAACCAGGAAACATCCTGCATGCGCAGGGCAGTGCTGCAAAACAGAATGGCCTTGGATGTGTCTACTGCTGCCCAAGTGGGCACAGGTTCCCTCACTGACCCCACATCTGCACTCATATTCCACTTAATGAGCCTAATATAAGATGGTTTAAACCATCTAAAAGCTGGTATTTTTGTATAGTTGCATTGTCAATCATGTTTTTGCACCTTGGCTAGGCTCTCTACCTTGATAGGGACGGTGTGTACACAGGACTATCTGCTGCAGTCTATGCTGAAGTTCAACAGCC